TCCCGTTCAGGAACAATTTAGCACCTCAGAAGCTAGTCTATCAAGTAAATAGAGAAAAATAAATGTAGTTATTTCTAATCACTGTGCTCTCTTTGTTTCTGTTTCACTTGGTTAAGCTGGAGAAGTTGATCAAAGCGGGCGCTGACATCCTCATGCCTGTTGTGGTGGGCGAGGGCCGCAGGTGCGCTGTGGGAATAGTCGTGGATTATGCGCACTGCGCATTCCAACAGGTGCAGCTTTTCATCGCCAGTTCATCCCGTGTTCCAGATCATCTGAAATCTCATTTATCACCTCAACCAATTATGATTTGCTCACCAGACCGGTTCCGCTTTCCCTCCAGAACCAGCACATGGCCCACACCCCATACCATGCCCTCAACAAGCATGAGAGACAAGCCTATAACACCTGCCGACAGTTGCTAGGCCTCATGGGAGATCTGCTGAGACAGGCGGTGATAAGAAAGGAGAAGGAACAGAGCTAAGATGTACTCGGTGAGACTGGCTGATCGTTTCTATAAATGCGCAGCACTTTATGGATTTTGTCTCACTGCTTTCAGGGTTTGTGCATCCGTTCTAAGGAGTTTGTGTCCTATCGATTGAAATCACAGGTTGCTAATTTGTGTGTTTGTGTGTTGTTTGAGGTGTCAGTCCCACAGAGAAGCTTCTATGTACCGGATCAGGAACGACACCGAGTCTGCTGAGCTCTCCTGAGGAGAACAACAGGACTTCCTTTAATAAACGCATCAGTCAGAGAGTGCAGAGGTACTTCATTATTACACACTGTTGCAAACCAAAGTGTGTTTTGTGCTGATTGTGTTAACTGTGTGTCTGTGATTTTGATTTCAGAAAGCAACACTTCAAATACTGCTATGAGTGCGGCCGTTCGGTGGGTGTGCAGCTGTCTGCCTGTAGCCGCTGTCGTGAGGTCTTTTACTGTAGCAAGACCTGCAAAACCAAAGCATGGGACGAGCACCACAGAGACGAGTGTGTCCGTGTGCCAGGTTGGTACTAGGTCTCAATCGACTTTTAAACAAACCTTGGTCTTGTTTTCCAGTATAAAACACAATTAAAACAAGAACAAATTTATTTGTGACTAAATTTATTTATGATAATAGTAAAAAATAAATAAAATAATAAATAAATATATATATATATATATATTATGCATTATTATCTCACAGTTTTCATGACAGTTAAGTAAAATTTCTCACAAAATTCTCATTAATGTGAAATATTTGCGTTCTTATTAATGTATTACATTTTTAAAAATTAAATCTGTCTTTAAAAAAATTTTTTTAATATATTGTTTATTTTTATTACATTGTGGGTAAATATTGACACTACACGTCAAAAGTTTGAAATAATTATCATTTTTAGAATGATTTCTGAAGGATCAGAGTAATGGTTACTGAAAATTAAACTTTGCATCACAGGAATAAATTACTTCTGTCATGAAATGTGCATGAATTAATTTACAGATAAATTACTTACTTTTGCTGCATTGTATTATCTTTAAACCACACAGGAGGTTTGTATACACTATATGAAGCAGACTTTAAAAATCAGTCGTGTTGTGTGCGAGCAGAGGATTTGTTTTTACAGACAGGTCTTATGGGATTTAAAGTATGAAATGAGAAATGACCCCCTCCTGCAGCGGTCCATTCCTGTGAGAATAAGATGTAGTCTCCAGTAACAACACTGTTATTTAAGAAGTGTTTGTGAGATAAAGGCCACACTTCTAGAACAAATGAGGCCAGATCTGAGCGCTGGTGAATCACGCAGAAGGTTCAGCAGGGCATCGAGGAACTTGGCAGAACCTGATAGCTGTGTATTTAAGGTGTTCACAGTGTGCTTTTCTCTGGAGGATTTGTCTCTCTAGTGTTTCTACATAGGATGTAGGTCCAAACAATGCTGTATGGCCAAAAATAAATAAAATAGAATGTTCAAGTGTTCTGGGAAACATTTCTCATTTAGGTTAACTTCATATACTAAAGTAATTCAAATTAAAACTGAAATGAAAATTCATAAAAACTACATAGACATATAAAATATTTTTATTAAAACGAAAATGGAAAATAACAAAAATAAAAATAATAAATAATAACAATAATAAAAAACGTATTCAAATGCAACTATAATAGTATCTCAATGATACTAAACACTGGTATGTGCAAACAAGACATTCACAAAATTGTTAAAACAAAACATAATACACTATCATTCAAAAGTTAATAAAAAATACAGTAAAAATAATAGTAATATTGTGAAATATCAATACATTTTGAATTAAAAAAAAAACAAGATATCTATTTGAATATATCATATTTTAATTGTGTAATTTATTACACATAATAATTAATAATAATAATTGTAATAAATACTACTAACAATTCTAATTTATTCCTGTTGTAACAAAGCTAATATGCTAATATTGCTGCATAAGAATCATTTCTTATGATCAATGCTGAAAACAGTTGTGCCACTTGATATTTTTCTGGAAACTGTGATGCAATTTTTTTTAGTATTCTTTGATGAATAGAAAGTTAAAAAGAACAGCATTATTTGAAATATAAATCATTTGTAACATTATAAGTGTCTTTACTGTCACTTTTGATGCAATTGAATGCATCCTTTTTGAATAAAACTATTAATTTCTTAATCTTTGAATCTTTGCTCAAAATCTATTTTAAATTTATTTTAAATACTCTTGATAAAAAATACATTATCAATATTGTCTATTTATTCAGCATCTGATACAATGGGAAGTATAATCTCAAAATGGCTAAATATCAGCTGATTAATTGGCCAGAATATTGGTTTATTATTATGATGAACTAATGCATAACGGTTTTGTTGTTTTCACAGTGGTCAATGGAAAATTGATCAGAGATGAATGCGCATCTATCGGACCATGTTCACCTCTGTCCACCAAAGACGCTAAAGGTAAGGCCTTCCACCTGAGCATGACCCCAGAAATACAGGAATATGACCTGAACGAGAATTACACTTTTATCTAGAACGTGTTTCAAAGGCCAGTTAAACACTAGCTGTGTAAAAGGTTACGGCTTCACATTTTTCAGAAAAATGTCCAATTTCCAATTTTCTGAAAAGAATGCGACTAAAAGACTTGAGCAAGTTCAAGGTCTGGTAGAAATGAAAAGAAATGGTTCAAAAACACAGACAACATCCGTTTTGTTTAAACAACTGTGCATGTTTATTACGTAAAACAGACCAAATTTATAAATTCATACCTCAAATAAAATGCTAGTGCTGAAATATAACAAAATCAAATGTTCATTAACACACACCTCTGCCTCTCTTGAATGAGTGTGTGCTCAATCTGTCACTGTCATATGAAACACATTAGGCTTGTGTTTGAGCTCTTCTCGATGTCCATTCATTGAGTCATGCGATCGACTAAGAGTATACAATGTGCTTTTCATTTATATCGGACAACCGATATCAAAAACGAACCTTCCTGTGACAGAGATCGTACACTACGTCATGTACATTTTCAACTGCGTTTACATTCCACAACTTTTTACATTTTGTGTCTGACAAAACCAGGTCCTTGTGGATTCAGCTCTAGTTGTGCATCAAAAAAACCGAATATCAGAAACGTGAAGATCGTTTGACACCTTTAAATGCAACGTTCAGTGACTAGATGCTGATAAGACATTTTGTAGGATTTTT